AAAATCCAACATCTTTCAGTCAGGTCATCTGGACAGTTTCTTTTTTTGTGTATGCTGAAACTTTTCACGTTCGATCTGGAAGGCTTCATCCGTCAAAGAAACACACAACACAAAACTGATTCTTCCCCCAACAGTTTACTCCAAAGTGGAACAAACCAGTTAAGTTGGTGCTAAGATGGTCTCTTTGGCACGCCCCCTCTTCCATTGCCGGCCGTTTTCCTTGTTGACAGTCGTGTCAAACTGGTTGAAAACAACAAAAGTCCATGTTCAATAATACAGTTATACAATCCAATATTTTTCAGTCAGGTCATCTAGACAGTTTATTTTTATTTTCTGCTGAAAGTTTCACATTCGGTCCAGAATTCATCATCAGTCAAGGAAATTTACAACACAAAACTGATTCTTCACCAACAGCTTACTCCAAAGTGGAACATACCAGATATGTTGGTGCTAAGATGGTCTCTTTGGCATGCCGTATCATCCGTTGCCAGCCCTCTTCCTTGTTTACAGTCGTGTCAAACTGGTTTAAAACAAACAAGTCTATGCTCAATTATCCAGGTATACAATCCAACATCTTTCAGTCAGGTCATCTGGACAGTTTCGTTTTTTTTTTTTTTGCTGAAACGTTTCGCCTTCAATCCGGAAGGCTTTATCAGTCAAGGAAACACACAACACAAAACTGATTCATCCCCCAACAGCTTACTCCAAAGTGGAACAAACCAGTTATGTTGGTGCTAAGATGGTCTCTTTGGCAACCCCTGTCCTCCTATACTGGCCCTTTTCCTTGTTGACAGTCATGTTGTAGTGAACTAGGCCTCCGACATCAATCTGTCTCTGAATTCCTTCAGGGGACAGGAACTGCTTTTTCATTGATTTGATTCCAGAAATACAAATATATCTCATCAAGAGACTATTTAATTGTATCCTGAATGAATCAATTGATAAAACACTCTTCTTTTTACTTTATTAGTACTATTTTAAGATATCTTGATAATCCAAAGTGTGTTTAGTTCAAACCACTTCTAAATGTTGAAGTGAACCACTTATTTAAATCAACTGTGAAACAGTATTTATGATTTTTAAACTTCATTAGACCTTGATCATACAGTTAAATGCCTATTTATGAAGTAAGTGTGCATTTAGTCTTCTGTCTGAATGAGGGTAGTGGACCTGATGTCGGTCGAAAGTCAGAGACAAGTTATGAGGACGAATTGTCTTGTTTTTAAAACTCTCAGACAGTAAATAAGAGCTGCTGGCACCTGCTTTGTCTCACCTCTTCAAAACATTTCTCCGTCTGTACTAAACGTTCTTAAAACATTCCTGTTGTTTCCTGACTTCTAGTGACCCTCTGACATCATTAAAACCACACCCCTGCTGGTTGTTTCCACCAATCAGGAAGTACCACATAACAGGAAGTGGATACCCCTTTAAAAGGCAACACTTCTTGGAACTATTCAGTCTTAAGTCAGTCTTCTTTGAAGTCTTCACGAGTCTTAGTCTTCATCGTCTATTGGAGTCTTCACAGTCTTTTCCAGTCTTGTTGGAACTTTCAGTCGGAGATGAGACTCAACTAAGTAACGGATGGATTTGACCATGTGCCAAGGGTCTCTCAATTATGTAGTATGTCAGGACAGCTTTGCTGTGGACACACTACTAATTAATTATTCTTAAATCTAGTTCAAGCACAAAGAATATTATTTGTTTAATTACAACGGATTATTTTCTTTTTCAAGTTAAATTTCTGTTATGTGACCAAGATAACTTGTGAGCAGATTGTTTAATCAGTGACATGAGACGCCATTTTATCTTTGACCCATCAGAATAAATACTGTCATTTATTTAACAGAATCAAAATTTAACATCAAAACATGTACACATTGATTTGCTGATCTGTTTTTGATTAATAAACTTGGCACGCTTTACTAAACAAGACAACAGAACATTACTGATTGAGACTGATTCATCTCCAAAGGCATCTAGCTTGATTTACTGGCGAATAGAGAAGTTTAAGAGAAGGAATATATTTAAGGAGGAAGTTTTAGATGGATGAAAGTTATGTGTTGAACCAGAACATTGCACCCTTCCTCCGACATCCAGCTCAGCCCTCCGGTACACTTCAGGACGTGCAGCGACTTTGTTACCTTAGCATAGGATGTATCCACTCTGGAACAGAAGTCCATTGGTACGCTCCCTTTTCAGCATCTCTGGTTAGAGTAGCTGGGGGTCATCAGAAATCGTGACGAAGTACTCGGTTCAACCGAATAAGCTTCCTTAGGAGTTGAGCTTTTAATGCTTGGGTTGAGTCACAGCCGAGGCAGGCTGTGACTACTCTGGACTGGAGAGACCCTTGGCACATGGTCAAATCCAGCCGCTACTTAGTTCAGTCTCATCTCCGACTGAAAGTTCCAGCAAGACTGGAAAAGACTAAGGGTACATTCACATCAGCCCTGTTAAGTCCGCTTTAATTGAACTCTAGCTCGTTTTCCTAGAAAGTCCGGTTCGTTTAGGGAGGTGTGAACGCACCATCGAACTCTGTCACGGAACAAAAAGGCGAACTCTGGCCCGGGCTAAAACCTAGGTCTCGGTCCGGTAGAAGTGAACTCCAGCGCGGTTCGAGTGCAGTGTGAATGCAAACAGACCGGGCACTGCTCCGCCAGCAGTAAGTGGAACTACAATAACAACAGGAAGTGTACTACAACGCAGGGCATTCTGGGTAAATACCACCAAAACAAACGTGCGTTAACATTAGCGAGAGGAAATGGCTCGTGGTCAGACGTGGAGTGACGAGGAGGTAAAGGCTCTCATACAAGTCTGGTCAGACGAAAGTATTTTGCAGTTACTTGTGAACACTCACAAGAACAATGAGGTTTACAGGCTAATCTGTTTGAAATTGGAGAAGTTGGGATTCTAGCGCACAGCTGAACAGTGCCGCAACAAGGTCAAAAACTTTGCCAACAATACATAAAAGTACGTGACATGCTCAGGAAAAGTGGCAGTTCAGGAGACTTGAAGGACAAGTATCCTTGGTATGATGAACTAGATGTTGTTCTTGGCACTCGACCCACGAGCAGCCCACAACATGTGCTGGAGTCCTACCGATCAGAGACTCCGCCGCCATCCACCCTGGCACAGAGTGACTCCGAAACCACAGAGATGGCTCAGGACTCAGAAAAAAGTGGTAAGTGGGTGACTATACTATTTAATAATGCTTGAGCAGAACTATTTCAATATTGACGTGTTTCATTTTAAAATGAGCAGTTACACCTTGCCAGTTTGTGTTTATTTGCCACAATTTATTATAAATATATAAGCAAATATGTATAATTCCAGTGTATAACTGTGGTAACGTGTATGTAACATTTTTATCATGCAGATAAACGTGACACTGACTGTGAAATTGAAGAGGCAGCCACCACAAGCTCCCAGGTGGATGAAGAAAGTGGCCAACCAAGGCTGGCTGTACCTGGGGCTCAGAAAAGAAAGAAAAAGACAAAGGCTGACAGGTTGGAGAAATTGTTAGAGAGCTACCTGGATGATGAGAGAAAAAGCGATGAGGATGAATGCAAAAGAATGAAGCAGGAGTCTGCATCTTTTGCGAACTTCTTAAAAATGAAACAGCAAGCTAAAGAAAGACATTTCGGGACAGCGGGACAGCCCATCTGCTGCTGTTTCACCGAGTCTTGGGTGTGTGGGCGACAAGGAGACCATGGCTGTCGACGGCTAGCGAAGCAGCGGCCCGTGAACGCTACATCGTGGGGCAGCCAGCTGCTGCGCCTCTGACCTGGGAGTTTCGGCGACGAGGAGACCGCTGCTGTTGACGGCTAGCGAGGGGAACGCTACATCGTTGAACGAGAAAAAACAGCGACCAGGCACAGGAGCTACTATCAAAGGGCATCACGGGGCATAGACACTTCTAAGGCTAGGCCCAGAAGCTACCAATGTGAGTAATGTGAGTAATCCTGTTCACTTCCGGCGAGCTGATGGACAGCAGCTCCCTCCGGCTTCTCTGCAGTCTTTTATCATCAAACTGACCCGTTTTTTGAACCGGACTAAAGCTGGTCCTTCTTCCAACCGAATTCGGTGTTCAGTGACTCAGAGAGCCGGACGGGACCATCCAAAAAAAAAAAAAAATTTTTGGCCCAGGACCGATCGGCCGCTCCCCCCCCATTGGTCACTCTGAGCGCACCCTGCCGGCCAGGTGACCCCTCGAGCTGTGGAGTCGACGCATGAAGGTCCGGTGTTTTTTCTCTCTCTCTCTGGACCTCAACGAACTCTTATCTGGTCCTTTGTGGTTCTACCTGGTTACGACAAATATTGCCGGGTGGTATTTCGCTCGTTTTCTGCTGGACTGGCCCTCGTGGTGTCTCCATAGGTGTGGGAGAAGTGTACCTATGTCCCTCAAATTGGACCAGAACCGAACCGAGGTGGCTATAGGGGAATTCGTCTTCAACAGAGCCGGTCTCAGCTTCAGTGAGCAGCCCGTTACTTTTACCGAAGGACGATCCACCTCCGTGAAGTCGTTGTGTTCACCTGGAGGAGACGCTCCGGTGCTTTGAAGCGTCGCCGGACCGGAGCAGAACCGCGCCGCCGGACTGGGCCGCCAGACCGGAGCAGAACCACGCCGCCGGACTGGGCCGCCGGACCGGAGCAGAACCGCGTCGCCAGACTGGGCCGCCGGATCGGAGCAGAACCGGGCCAGGGATATCTTCAGCCTCTTCGTCTCTCGTGCTTGGAGTGCCGGAGCTGAACTGGAGCAGAACCGGACCGGACCAGTTGCCGACTTCAGCCTCAGCCTCTCCGGTCAGTCTCGCTTTTTACGGGGGGTGCCCCGTGCTGTCAGGTGCTGAGAAGCGGAGGAGCAGTGTGGAGGAGCAGCGTGGAGGAGCAGCGTGGAGGAGCAGCGTGGAGGAGCAGCGTGAAGGAGCAGGTCTGCGTGGTGCTCGAGAGAAGTTCGGAGTTTGTATCGGAGCTGCTGCAGGCCTCTATCCAAACTCACCTGGATAATAATTAATTTTATTCCAGATCACGCTGTTGGCCCCTGTTGACCTGAAACAAGCTAGGATCATGCCTTTCACTTCAGGAGGATTTTCTGGCAGCTCGCTCTGCTATTTGCTGTGAATTATCTGTTTCTGTTTCGGCCTGTTGATTCTGGACCCAGTTTCTGTTTCCCATGGGAGCATCCATCCTTCCATCCATCCATCCTCACTGGGGGGCCGGAGCCCCCCTCAGCCCAACTCAAACTGCAGTTGGGCCACCTCGTGGGGTTTGTTTGCCCATTTGAACTGTGACGTTTTATGGTCTGAAACTTTTCTGCATCATTCATATTACTTCACTATTTTCAGTTTTCAGATTATCTGGAGTCACTGAATCTTGTTAATACACCTGAATCTGTCCATCACTGCAACTTTCACTGTTTTTGGGTTCTGAATGATCACGTCTTCATTAATGTTTCTCATGGTTCGATTATGGGGGCTAATTGTCACATTAATAATTCCTGTAATTACACATCAGTCATAAAAAACTCAAGAAAATGTCTGATAATAATGTTGTTACTGCTCTCAGGGATTCAGCCCAACCCTGGAGCCCCCACTAATTATAGCACACCAAATGACTTTAAAAACGCCTCTGGGCTTCATTTTCTGCATGTAAACGCTCGTAGCCTTCTGAAAAAACTTGATGCTTTGAAAATCCTGGTCAGTTCTTCTGGGGCAGATGTTATCTTTATTCCTGAATCCTGGTTCAACAAATCTGTAATGAATAATGACGTGGCAATCAATGGAATTAACATCTACCGCTGTGATCGTCAAAAAAGTGGGGGTGGAGTCATTATTTACATTAGAGATTCTCTGGTTTCTAGTCTTGTGACTTCCAAAACAATTCCAAACCAGTTTGAAGCCTTATCTGTAAACATCACCTTGAATGGAGGCCAGATTTTAACTGTAGTCTGCTGCTATCGCCCCCCCCCCCCCCCTACTGCATCACCTGAGGCATTAACTGCCATGAAGGAATTTCTTGGTAATTTAAAATTCAAAGAGATCTTTTTGGCTGGAGATCTCAACATTGATTGGTGTAAGTCGACCCCCCTCTGTGACAAATTCAAGGAATGTTGCTTGTCTTTTAATTTAACCCAACTGATCAATTCTCCCACTAGATTAAATAAAAACCATCCTGAAAATTCCTCCATCTTAGACCTGTTTCTAACTAATATGCCTCACAAATTCCCTGGTACAGGTGTATTCGCTGATCTTTTGAGTGATCACTGTGTGACAGCGGCTTTGAGAGATATTAAACTTCCACCTTCTAAGCCCAGATTAATTCAAAAAAGGGATTTGAAACGTTTTTGTGAACAGTCATTCCTCTGGGATCTGTCTCACTTTGACTGGCATCGTATTATGTTAACTGATGACGTGAACTCTGCTTGGAACTATTTCCATAATAATTTCATTTATTTCCTGAATATACATGCTCCTTTTCGTCAGTTCAGAATAAAGGGACGAGACAGCCCCTGGTTTACTCCAGAGCTAGCTGATCTCCTGCACAGGAGAGATCATCTTTGGGCTGCAGCGAGAAAATCTGACTCAGACACTGATTGGTTGAGTTTTCGACAGATGAGGAATAAATGCACAACTGCTGTCAAAGCAGCAAAACGCAACTATTTCTTATCTCAGACCTCCAAAAATCTAAATGACCCTAACAGATTCTGGAAAACCATCAAATCTCTCTCAGGCACCCCCCAATCATCTGACCTTCCATCACAACTTCTCGTTAACTCTGTTCCTGTGTCAAATAAGCACGAGATCCTGAACTGTCTCAACAAACATTTTGTTGCTTCTGGTTCTTTATTTGACACAGTTACTAATGGAAGATCAGCCACTTCACTTAATAATCAAACTTCTACAAATCAAATCCCTCCTACAAGTCAATCCTCAGTTAATCACAGCTTCTCTTTTTCTCCATTCTCAGTCAGTGAGGTTAATAAACTGTTAAAAGTTCTTGATCTTAAAAAAATCTGCAGGTCCAGATGAATTTCCACCTTATTTCTTAACCCTTGTGTTATGTTAAGGGTCAATTTGACCCGTTTCAATTTTTGTGTTGATCAAAGTGCAGGTTATCCTTTCTTTTTTTCCATGAAATGTTGTGACTTTTTCTCCTCTAGGGTCATGAACTTCTATGTAAAATCTGGACTCTTTGATGTGTTGTTAAATGTCTGCACACAGTTTGTATACAAAGATGATGTTGCGGGTCATTTTGACCCGCACACAGAGTAGCTGTTAAAAATCCAAAAAAAAAGTCTTTGATGTACTTCATTTTGATTGCCTCTGAATAAACATTCAGAACCAGGTGTGTGTGGAAGAGGGACTTTCTCTCCCCTGTCCTTGTCACTGTTTCCATGCCCGTTCTTGGAGAAACACCAAAAATGAGCTCCAGACGATTTACAGCTGAAGAAGCTTTTTCGCAGCTTATGAACTGGGATAGTGATGTAGAGGAAGAGGTTTCAGAGACAGAGGATCCTTCAGAGCCAGAGGACAATGCCATTGATGATCCAGATTTTCAATTTTCCCATGATGAGGAGGATTCAGAGGACGAGTCTGCAGGTGTCCCTTCTTCAGATGAAAACCAAGAAATGCAACAATCGTCATCCACAGAGGGGACATGGACATCTAAAGATGGTAAAATAAAATGGTCAACATCACCACACCAAAGCCAAGGTAGATTGTCATCTTGTAATGTCATCAAAATGATTCCTGGTCCTACAAGATTTGCTGTCACAAGAGTTGATGATATTGAATCAGCATTTCAGCTCTTCATATCCCCACCCATAGAGAAGATAATCCTCAACATGACCAACTTGGAGGGGAAGCGTGTCTTTCAAGAGAAATGGAAGCCACTGGATCCGACTGACTTGCATGCTTACATTGGAATCCTGGTGTTAGCTGGCGTATACAGGTCAAAGGGTGAAGCAACTGCAAGTTTATGGAATGAAGAGAATGGAAGGCCAATCTTCCGAGCAACAATGTCTTTGGAGACATTTCACATGATCTCTCGTGTGATCCGATTTGACAACCGTGACACCAGAGCTGATCGACGTGAGAGAGACAAACTTGCAGCAATCAGAGATGTCTGGAATAAATGGGTCGAAATCCTGCCTTTATTGTATAATCCTGGCCCCCATGTTACTGTCGATGAGCGCCTCGTTCCATTCAGAGGACGCTGTCCATTCCGACAGTATATGCCAAACAAGCCTGCGAAATATGGCATCAAAATGTGGGCAGCCTGTGATGCAAAATCCAGTTATGTTTGGAACCTGCAAGTATATACTGGAAAGCCACCTGGAGGAAGACCTGAGAAGAATCAGGGAATGCGTGTGGTTTTGGAGATGACTGAAGGGCTGCAAGGTCATAACATTACATGTGACAACTTCTTTACATCCTACCGTCTTGGAGATGAACTTCAGAAGAGAAAGCTGACTATGTTGGGAACAGTCAGAAAAAATAAGCCAGAACTTCCCAGTGAGATTCTGAAGATGCAAGGAAGACCTCTGCATTCCTCAAAATTTGCTTTCACAGAGAAAACAACACTTGTTTCTTACTGCCCAAAAAGAAACAAGAATGTTCTTGTGATGAGCACAATGCACAAAGACGCATCTCTGAGCACACGAGAGGACATGAAACCGCAAATGATTCTGGATTACAACTCCACAAAAGGGGGAGTTGACAATCTTGACAAAGTCACAGCAACATATAGTTGTCAGCGC